TATATATATATATATATATATATATATATATATATATATATATATATATTTTATTCATTTTAAATTTATATAATTGTATATGTTCATATTTATATCCGTATTTATATATTCATTTACTTATAATATACTCTATATTATATACATATAATATAGAGCTATGTGTTCTCACATTATTATCCCTAATTAATGGTTATCTCTCTTCTTTTCGTTTAGATTATCTCTTTCGCATGTTTTTTTTTTTTGAGATTATTTGAATTATTTTTTTTTTTTTTCATTTCAAATTTACGACGAACAAAAGAGAAAGTGAACACGACACGCATACTGCTACCTGTACGGCGCACGTGGAGGAGCAGCACTTTGAAATGTAACAAAAATCGCGCGTCTCTCTCTCTCTCTCTCTCTCTCTCCCTCTCTTTCTGTAGATATATTTATATATATATATATATACGAGTGTTTGTGTGTATGGCTTTCTGTGTTTCATTTTTTATAATTACGCTCTTATCCCTCTTGGATAATAATAGTGTCGCGACTAATATAATGATATTTACAAGATTTATCGTACAGAACATTTTCGCACTTCTTCGACTTAATTCTCGTCGTCTCCCTTCGTGCGTTTTACGTTCTTATATTTTTCTGCGTGTGTGTGTGTGTGTGTATGTGATTATTCCTGTGTATACGTCACTGTGTCAAAAGTTTGCGCGCACGATCCAAGAAAAATACGAGTAATATTTATTAACTAATTTTTCTCTTTCTTTTTCACCTATCTTCTCTGCTCTCTCTGTGTGTGTGTGTGTGTGTGTGTGTGTGTGTATGTGTGTAAGTGTGTTCGATCCGCTTTATATTTATAATAACTGATTTTGTTAAGTTTTTCGATTGCACAGAAAATGGGAGAAAGCACGAGGCGAGTCGAAGACGATCATTTTTTTTTTGTTTTTTTGTTTTTTTTTTTGAAAAGAAAGGATGCGACCGAGAACTCACGCGAGGCACACGAATCGGCCACGTGGCCAAGATCTCTTATGTTTTTTTTTAATTATTTTTTTTTTATTTTTTTATTTTTTTAAATATTTATATGCTCTCTTCTTTTTCGCCTTATTTTCTTTTCTTTTTCTTTTTAGTTTGTTCTTTCTTCTTCTTCCGTTTTTTTTTTTTTTTTTTTT